GAAATAGTCACTGATCACCTTCGCGGATAGGGATTCCACTTTATCATTTGCGGAATAATTCAAGTGATCTGACAGGGCATTCATTTCAGACTTCAAGGAAAATAGTGATTTGTATAAAACTACTCCTCTCAATCTCATGCCTGTTCATCGAGTTCTCAAAATAAAACCGTGGTACAGAGTCACCCAGCTATGTCCTCCCTTGAATTTACCAAAAATGTCCTACTTTGAAATTGCCGTCATATCCAAATCTTCCAACTTCGGACATTGTGTTTCAGTAATTGTCCATCGAACAGTCTTCGCATCCTCACAGCCACCCCAACCACCACAGTCACTAATAAAAGAAGAACACATATATAAACAAAGGAGTACAAGCGGAACACCGCCACTTCACAATCGCTGCCGATCTCATCTTGTTTGATGCAAATAAATCGCCAAGCTCGGCTAACAGGCGAAATGTAACTCAGTTCACCCGAACTACGAGAACCGATGTTTAGTACATTGCCAAGAACCATGTATGCCACATAGCAATATAATACTGGAAAGAGCTCGCAGCACTACGTGGTACCAGCTCACAGACTTACTTGATACGAGGACGCATTCGGATAGACGAAAATTGGATAGTGATCGTTCACATCTGTGACTGTGATTTGTACTTGAGCTGCTGAGGTACGCACTTTCTGATCGTTTACAGCCCGATTAAACATGTCGCTCGATTCGATCGTCTCGTAACCCTGAATATCGGAATGCAGCGATCTCTCTCCTTCGTCTGCCCTATCACCTCCGTCGCGGGCGAGCACTGTCAATCGATACACTGCGCGCATCTCACGATCGATGAACCGCGTGGTCTTCAATATCCCGTTTCGAGTAATCTATGTCGGTAGTAAGGAGATTTTGTGAGCAACATAGAACTCATAAGTTTGCCAAAGCTGTAGCATATTCCATCACAACATTCAAATCAATTATCTGAAATAAGACTCAGATTGAAATCAGAAATGTATGGGGTTTGAATTAAAAAACTTGATGAATTGAAATTTGGGATCACTTAGGTCTTGTGGTTATTTATATTATTGTGCAGCTCAGGTGCTCGAGCGCATACCCTGGCAACAACCTGTGCAACCAAAGATTTTTAGTCAGTCTGTTCCGGTTTGATAACTCCGACATGATTCACATAAACGGATCAGCAACCAGTAGAAGGCGAGCAGAATGAGGAGAGCGTTGAATCCTTCCAGCCTTCAAACACAATTTGCTTTTGCTGCATGTCCGCTTACCGGGATTTTGAAATTTGTTATCATGTTGCAACAGACTTATCCTTGTTTGTGCCGGTTTAGCTGCTAATTAGCTGAGTTTAAGGTGGAATTCACCGTTTATTTGGAGGTAGCAATCACCTTTTTGTGGGTAATGATCGTGACGGCTTTCAGAATGCTGTGGTGAAAGTTGGTTTGATATTTGTTGAACTGTTTTCTATTGTAATTGTTTGCCTAATCGACATTCCCGACAAAAGCGTGAAGTGATTGGGATTGTCATTTGCCCAATGGATAAACCGGGTGTTCGAGTACTAATTTGTATTTATACACCGTAAGGGTCAATTTGAACAAATTGCAACTTTCTATTTTTCAGGCACTGAGCCAGACAAATGTGAATTCTGAATTTACTGGTTGTTGAAGGTGCGGTGTACACTGTTTGTAAAGCAGCTTCAGTATGACTCTATTTGAAATCAGCTGCATTTTTACCTAGATCTCAGGGCCAGCTTGACCATACTCTCGATGTCTTCAAATGACAGACCGGCTTCAAGCTGCTTGAGTTGATAATGTACTGAATTTGGTTCACGTGAGGTAAGTTGCCGTGAATTTTTCATTTGGGCAAAATTTATGGGCTAAATTGCAAAGCGAAAAGCAAGCGTTGTTTTTTGATAAATGTCGTTCAGAACAACTGATTCCTTACAGTGCAGTTCATATGGTGATACGTCCCACGTGCATGATTATAACGAAAACAAAATAGGTCGCTTTCGAAAGATCAGTGGTCTAGGCGAGATTTGAACCTGCCAAAACTCTTCTGAGTTTAAACGAACCAATGTGAATGAAAACTGGGCACCTGGACACAGTGATGGCAATCCGCACACAACGGTGCAGATGGATGGGCGTTTCATGGGCATACGAGGTTAACCAGATTTTTCAATATAGCACTACTCTTTTAGAACCACAAAGGTCTGAGTGGTGGTGTGCAGAAATATAGCACACCTCTGGCGTACTTTGGAGGATTTTTATTGGTTCGGAATGAACGTTGAATTAATTTACAATCATACAATCCCGTGTTGCTCAAATTATATAGAAGATAGTTTATGATGGTGAGAGTGCATCTGTTGAAATCCACCATCCCCGGTTTATTTTCGAGACATTCCCGAATGAGAACACTCACTTCCTTTTTCCATAAGCAAAAACGTATCGGAATAGGTTTCTAAGACTACAGGAGCGAGAATCACCGAAAAACCTGCTAACGTAAGTCACGTAAAAACGTTCATTTATTGACATATTTCAGTGAAAGGATGATTAACATACTCAGGAACTGATATGATATCGATTTAATACATCGCACTCGGAACAGCGAGCTCACGAGTAAAAGTAATTGATCTAAGCGAGATATCCATTACATTCTGTTGGAGGTTGCCAACTGGCTTAGGTTTGTTTTACAAAATGTCTCTGTTCAACTCCCGTTATTGCCCGTATGATTCTGTTTCATGGATAATTCGTGAATCGGAAGTAGCAGAGACGTTCATGAAAAAGGTTTGTTCAATTACATTTTCAACAATCAAAATGAGGGAATATTATTTATTTATCATTCGCAATGTGGTCAAACAAGTTAACTTGTTACTATCCGACGACCGGCTGAAATCCGAGGCACAAAACAGTGAAATATCATTGTTACACAGAAATCAGATATAAAGAATTATAGTGCACAAACTGTTGACAGACATTCACTTGTGGATGTATCTGTCGGAAGCAATGTGTATACAACCTCTTTGCATGGACCGACAACGCATCGGAAACTCATTTTGTAATGCCTTGGCTTGAGATTCAGCCGTCAATAAACTCACGCGTTCTACTTTAAACCATGCCTCTGGAAACATTTTAACGCAGGCACACGACTCATAATCACCAATATTTATTGATCGTTTCGAATCACTTTCCACTCACCATCTGATTCGCATCGGTTATAGCCTTCAAGCGTAATGTTTGTACACTGCTTGACCTAATCTGACAAAGCTTAGTGGAATAACTTCACATAAATGTTTAGGAATCATTGCTCACAAACCTTCAACTGATCCAAACGGCATTACATTTCGATTTTTTTCTTTGTTTTGTCTTTTGTCCACGTTTTCGCTATCTTGCATTCAC